AGCTGTCAAACTTGTCCAAGTGGTCAAATGGGTCTTCGACAGGTAACCCATGATACTTGTTGTTCTCGATCACGTTGAGAAGTCCTGCTTTGACCTCAAAGTTGTTGGCTTCCACAGCTGGCGCACGGATACCTAACCTATTGCCATGAAGGTTGGGGCGGTCATGAGTGCCAATAGGGCGAGCTGGGCGGGCTGGGTGAGCTGGTGGGTCTTGCCCGTTTACGTTAACCGGTGGCTCCATGTCAGTATCCAACCTTTGTTGCTGAGCTTCTTGCTCTGCTTGTCTTCTCTGTCTTGCAATCTCTCTTTCAAACGCTCTGATATCTGGAACTCTTGGAACAAGGTTTGTTGTGCCCTTGCTCCTCAAGTTCATACACCTGAAATCCAAAGAGAGATGAAGATAAAGAATCAGTAACAAAATAAAAGAAAAATGACTTAGTCTCAAGCAAGTGACTANTCTTGGAACAAGGTTTGTTGTGCCCTTGCTCCTCAAGTTCATACACCTGAAATCCAAAGAGAGATGAAGATAAAGAATCAGTAACAAAATAAAAGAAAAATGACTTAGTCTCAAGCAAGTGACTAAATCTCAATGTTTCAATCTACTCAGAATTTGGCAACGGCGCCAATTTGATGTTAGGAGTTTTTGAGGCTCCTAAAGCAAATGTTGTAGTATAGATGATTGTCGAACCAGTTCTGAGGGATTTAAAAGCACCGAGAATACAAGTACTAGCTTAATATAAGTGCGATCATGTGATTGATTGGTTTTTAAGGTTAACTAAAACTAGAATGCAATAAAAGATATAACTTTGACAAAGAAGGTAAAAGAGAACTCATGGGTATAGGTAATTTGACTTTGGGTGATCAAGTTTCGATCTAAGGATGGCAAGCGATCAATTAAACTGTCTACCTTAGGCCTAGATACGATTCTAAACAAGCTCTATGTCTAGATGAATGTTCATTTACTAACATAACTCAAGCATCAAATGTCTTTGGTTGAATATTATGAAAGTAATCATTAGGAATAAATCTATTAGCCATCTTAACAACTTTAACAACAAGTGTCCCTGGTAAAGACTGTTAAAAGCTTAAGAGAATTGACTCAGACATTTCATCGAACACTTTGTGAGTGGGAAATGTCTAGAGATCAACTTTTGAGTGATCAATTCAAAAGAGGCATTATGGTTACTCTAATAAGCAAGGAACAAGAGAAATCTAACACTAAAACATCCTAAATCTAACCTAATCACCATTAATCTCCCTAACCCATGAATTCAAAAGGTGATTACTCACTAATCTCCATGATTCCTCTTAAACTCATATTGGATTTCAGATTAATCATGTAGAGAAATAGACAAGAAATCAACAAGAACACAAGATAAAAGCAATGAAATCTCAATCCAAAAGAAGTTTTCTTCAAGAACAAAAGATTCTCTCCTCTGGAGGCTTACAACGTAGTTTTAATTAGGTTTCTCCAACTCAGAATAAAGAAAACGAAATTGCAAAAAGGTCCCTGAAACTCAAGTTTTCGTCATACATAACACGCGCAGCGACCTGGCCGTGTCGCTCCCAGAGGTCGCTCCAGGCGCTGGAGCAGCTTGGCCAGGTCGCTCCCGGACCTCGCTCCCAAGGCTGATATAGTGAGAAGGTGCGAACGGCCATCAAGTGTCGCTCCCACATGTCGCTCTGAATGCTGGAGCGACTTGGCGTCTCGCTTCCGAACCTCGCTCCCGAGCCTCATAAACATAACAAACGCGAGCGGCCTTCAGGTCTCGCTCTGATGTGGAGCGACCAAGGGGTCTCGCTGTGGACGTCGCTCCAGCCTCTCCTCGACCAATACTCACTCCAAACTCCTCTTTTTGGAGTCCAAACTCCACCAAACCACTTCCAAGGCTCCAAGGGTAGTCTCATCACCTGATAAATGCAAATGAATGCAAAATGCAACCTAAATGTACCTAAACCTAATCTATATGCTCAACATGAACAAAAAAATGCAAGGTTAAGACTAAGTAAATATGCAACATATCAATATTGCTTAAGTAGTGTGTAGAATTCTTACTAAGGATTTCTGTGTGATTAACATTACCATTTTCAACTTAACTTCATACCTTTATTTACTTGGTTAGCCTAACTATCATTTTTTTATAAAATCTAGTCCAAATCATGTAAATGTTAAGGTAAGATACATTTAAAAGAAGTAAAAATATGATAATTGATAACTACGTTTTGCAAATGCATAGTTTGCAAATATGTTCTTAGGCTACACAATCCAATGTGATATATATATATACATACATATAGAATCAAGTAAGGTGAAAAGAAATACTTCACAAAAGATAAAGTACATAGTATACTTTTTTAAAATATAAATTTTATCTTATGTGAAAATTTGTATTTATAATTTTATATCGAAAAACTGAAAGTAAACACCAAATCAAAAATCAGAATAATTTTTTTTTTTTAGACTTTGAGCCAAGCTAAGTGATTGAATATAATATTTAACATAATTTAAATCAATTTATGATGGAACTAATAAAGGTAATAAGGACTCGTGGAAGAATTGATCATATTCCTTAATCTCACTTATTAAACAATTTTTCATCTTTTGACAAATGCCTCGGTTATTCTAACATTCCATTAGAAAAATTTATAGATTCAAAATTTTGTGATTTCATTATTTTATTAAATTTTGTACATCCTTGCATTAATTATTTTTACAGATACAATACTTAGCATGTTTTATCTGTTTCTGTTTTCTTAAACATTGGTGAAGAACATATTTTTTTGTTTGTAACTGGAGTTAAATTTTATCGATAGTACAATAAAACCAGAATAATAATAACATGAGAAGTCATGCACATCTTTGACTTATCTTTCTTTGGCCATTTGATAAATTTTCTTCATTTTCATGCTTATGTCGCTAGCTCTCGATTTTCTGTATCTCTCTTAGAACTTCCAGCTCTTCCTTAACGGTAGAACAAACATCTTAAATTTACCCATTCAGCTTTCTACTTCCCCACCTCTCACTAAAAATCAATGAGGATTAACAATTATCACATTCTTTTCTTTTTCACTTTAACCTTCACCGGAGAACTGTATTTTCTTATAAGCCTTAAAAACTTTTTTCTTAAAAGAATCTACACCCCCCAGACTGGTTTCCTAAGAATAACACGTGCACCTTTCATGGCATGAGTTACAGAGACGGTAATGTATCCTCAATTGATCTCAGTTCATAATCACTCAACATCGGAATCAATATTGTGAATGGGTTTCATGTTATTTACATTATGAGAAATGAAATTTTGAATTTAATTATACAATCTAATCTATTTATAAATACAGAGTCACAAACTGGAAGAAAAGGAGGATGCAATGAATGTGAAAACATTGAAGTAATGAAGAGATGGAGTTAATTGGGAGGTTAATGAGAAGGATGAATGCATATGAGATCTGTAACATTCCAGGTTTTCTAAAGCAAGTAAGGAGTTACTCGAACTCAGACCAATAGCCATTTCCACCAGAGATTGACCGGATTTCCAACCCCCTCAACCCAGCCGGATCCTCCATGGTAAAATATACTATATCTTGTATATATTTTGTATATATTTTGACAAGTAAAATTTTAAAATTCTAATTTTAATCAACTACATCCAATATTTTTGATATTTGTTAGCATTTCTTATTCCAAATTTGACATGTCAATATAATGGTACTTGGATCTTTGTATAATTAGTTCTGGCGCCAAATCAGACTTTTTGTATTCAACGTAAGGTGGCCTCCAAACTAGGGTTGAAGATCGATGCGTTTTATTAAGAACTCTTTTATTAAAGAGAAAGTTGGAAAGAGACACCGACCGATGCCTCTTTGTAGAATTAGCTTCTGGCGCCAAAATCAGACATTTTCTTTCATTTAGTTATTTTGGGATTTAGTGGGGTCGAATGGACCATGTTCATTAATAACTCCATTCTTTTACTTATTCTTTTTTCCTCTCCTTTGATCTATTTTTATAGCTCATTCTTTATAGAGCTATTCTTTTGGGAATATATCTCTTATATTTATTAAAATGGAAATATACTTTTAAATAACTTTAAATTAATTATGTATATTACGGAAATGTCATTAGAAACTAGAACATGTATAGGTTTCACTGAGATTATTTTCGTCTTTCATTTTTGGGCAATAAACATGAAAATATCTGTTCCAAGGAATCTCAACAATACAACAAGACACACTAGCTTACTAGCCAAAACTGACCGAGCTTTTCATAAAATTCTTATTTCCGTTGATTATTCTATTCAGATTTGGATTCTCGGACCGCCTTTAATTTGAGTGAATGAATATCCATTTGTTGTCAAAGAAAAACATGAAAATATTTGAATTTTTCTTATAAAAACAACTAAAAAGATACTTCAATACTTTTTTAAAAGATTTCCATTAAGTAAAAATCTTATATATATATATTCTTTTTTTTTATATTTAAAATTTTTTTATCAAGGCATGCAAGACATGTTACAAAAACATAAGATGGGTTAAAGATAATATGTGATATATAAAAATAATATTTTTCAAAGAATAATTTTTTTATCAACCGAAATAATCTAGCAAATTAAAACGTTTATCTCACAATGGATATCTGCTTATTTCTTGCTTTTTAGGATTTAGGAAATGAAGTTATAAGATATATAAATATTAAATGGATGTCAATATAGAAGCTGGTTTATGTTATGGTCACTTGAATATTTGAATATACTATATGTTCATCACTAAAGAACAAAAGAACACTAATAGCATGACTCAAAAAAGCAAGCTATATAGTATTCAAATATCAAAAGCAAAGAAGATGCTACGGTATTTTTTTCCTTTGATGTACTTTTTTTTTTGACATCTTCCTTTGATGTACTTGCCTTTAGTGTTCACATAGTTTGCCTCATCTTTCTATTAAATAAGAAGCACTATAAGGAAAGCTCTCACTCTCTCACCATCAACGACGTTTGAAATTAGGCATGGGGAACTGTTTATTCGGAGGGTTAGGCGACATGGAAGAGTACTTACCGACCAAAGTCATAAAACCGGACGGTGGAGTTCTAGAGTTCTTCTCACCCATCACAGCAGGCTCCGACGAGTTGAAGACTTTTGTCGGAAACTATCACGTGAGATCCAACAGCGAGTCCTTGCCAATGATAACTCCTTACGGAATGTCTCTGGATTACAACCGTAGGGTGTTGAAGAGATCGTACACAAACGTCTTTTCAAGAAAAACCCGACATAAGGAGAAGAAGACGAGGAAGCGTATGAGAAACAAAGGGGATATATGGAAAGTGAAGCTGGTCATAAACACGGAAGAGCTGCTGCAGATATTGTCCGAAGAGGGGAGAACAAACGAGCTTATAGAGAGTGTAAGAGCCGTGGCCAAGTGTGAAAACGTTGTGGCGTCAAGCATCACAAGTAGTTCGTCCGAGTTGAACTACTTGTCAGTGGTACAGGTCTAGTTTTTATTTTATATTTGTGGTAGATCTTCATCTACATTATTTGGATGTTGTGGTTTATGAGTTTACTTGGCAAGTTGCTATTAACCCCAAAAGCCTGTTACGTGTGTATGTGTTTAATATGAGTTTGTATTTAAGATGATTATAGTTCACTAAATTTTAATATATATTATTGTTTAATGTGAGTTTGGTATGTAAGATAATTATACTTTACTGAATTTTAATATATATTATTGTTAATTTACTATATTAAAATAAAAAATACAATATAAAATTTAAAATCTCTATAATATTATTTGAAAAGTCAGTATATTTACTCTTGTCAATTTTGCAATGGTTAATTATGGAAGTACCCTTAAGTGATTAAATATATTACATTTAATTAACATTATTAAATTTAATTTCCTTTTTATTTATAGTTTCTGTTAATTTGGTTTTAATTTAATCTCCTTTTTATTTGTTCCAATAACATATATAATACAAGGAAAATTATAAAAAAATTTAAGATTTTTTGAATAATAGTCATATATAAGGTGAATGCATAAAAAAGAAAGTTATCAAAAAATCATTAAGAAAAATAATAAATAAAACATATTATTTTATAGTAATATTTTATTTATTTTTATACATATAAGTTATTGGTACCTCAAAATATATTAAAATATTAATTAATTTTTACAAATTATTTCTTTTGTAAACTATATGTGCATGAGATTCAAAAATACTATCTTTATATTCCTTTATGTGATTTTTAATCAATCTACACTTTAATTTATTTCATCTATTTGATTATCAAAAAAAAAATTATGTTATACCAAATATTCCTAAAATATATTTATATATTTAAGAGAACAAGCAAACTAAATCTAAAATATCAAAATTGTAATATATGTAGAACAAAACATACTATGGTTAAATTCAGAAAAGTAGATACATTCTAATATACTAAGTGATAAATAAACTGACTAGATATTACATATACAAAAATACATGTCCAATTCAAAAAAAAAATTATAACATTAGTAATATAAAATATACATAGAATTAGAAAATTATAAAAATAAAAATAAAATATTAATCAGTTATTATAATATATTTATGTTTTAAATATTTACATATTGCATGAGCACAAAAGAATAACCATGTAAAATTGTATGTGTTTAATGTGAGTTTGGTATGTAAGATAATTATAGTTAACTAAATTTTAATATATATTATTGTTAATCTACTATATTAAAAGAAAAAATACAATATAAAACTAACATATTGTTGATGTGTTTATTATAAAAGTTTCCATTGGAACTTAAACTATCCTAAGGTCTTTATCAACGGTCATTTGGTCTTTAACTGTTAAACGATTAAATCATGAAAAAAAAAATTCTATTAAAATATGTGTGATTTACATATAATGCCATTACATGAATTTCTTTTAAGGGTTTTCATCAAAGGTAATTGAATCATTACATGTACATCAGACCATTTGAATAGAATACACATTACACTATAATGTATACTCTCCTGGATCAGAGAAACAACATAGAACATAGCAAGAAAACACCTGGAACCACGTGTAAGTTTGTCCGCCACTAAACTATGTGCTTTTGAAATATGTTGAATATGAAAGATAGGAAAAAAGACTTACTGCGCTGAAACTCCTCTAAATGTGTAACAAAAGCTGGCGCCAGTCCTCAGGTAATGACACTATCTTCACCAGTTGAGAATAGTTGGTTGTAAACACTGCGTCTGAAATGATATGGGTCTTCATAGATTCCATAGCCCATATCAAAGTTTCACATTCTGCGTGTAAAGCAGATAAATTTCTGCAGAGATTCATCGCCCCATCAACATCTCTTGTGAACCATTAGTTATGTATAACCATTAGTTCTTCTACCATTTAATAGTATATTTAACTATAGATATTTCTTTTATTACAACAAAATCATATAAAAATCTGTTAAGTTTCATTATTTTAATATATGATTAAATTTGTAATTATTATCAAACTTGTTATATATACTTATTATTTTAGCTAAAATATTATAATATACTAGACAGTTAATTAATTTTCTGTATATTTTAAATATTTATTATTTTAAAATTATCATTGTAATTTGACACATAATCTTAATATTCACATCTGACTTGAAAATATTAAATTTAGTTAAAATATATTATTTGATTATACAGTGGAACGAATTACAGCTAATATTTTCATAATTATAATAACGGATCATTTGATCAAACATGTAAAACATTTTGTTTATGAAACACTAAAAATGCTTTAACCAATGCAAAATAGATTATAAAAAAAAAAACTAACCATCAAGAATATAAAACGAAACAAAAATATATAAATATATGTTGTCTCGTAAAACATACATAGTGTGTTAAATCTGTGTAATACATATTAAACTTATATCAACGTTATAAAAAATCCAAAACAACTATAATTCGGTTTTAATTGTTCTCGTGATAGTAAAATATGGTTGAAGTTGAAGAATATAGTGTTATTGGTTTTATGATTTTATAATAGATTTTAAAATTAGATCTTATTCAATAGTAGGGATTTTTTTAACCATTAAATTTGGATTTGGATTTGAATATATTTATAAGTGTTTTAAAGAGTAAAATACAAAGAAATAAGGGGGTTTTGCAAAACCAACCCAAAAATTCAAGTCAAACACAAAAACCAACCTCTTTTTTTTTGTCATTACTTTCACTCTTAAAAAACCTAAACTCTCCTCATGTTTCTACCTATTTACCAAATTGCCATTATTATTAAATCTAATATTATTTTCGAAAATTATTAAAAACCTATTACACCCTAAACATTTCTCCTTATTTACCACAATGCCATTGTCATCAATATTTGCAACCACAAAAAATCACCATCGATGAGCTCTTTAAGCTTGTGTTTATGAATTTTCAATCACTTATTTCACTTTCTAAACAAACAATACTTCATTTCCTCTCATTTCCTCTCTATTTTCATCTAAACAATTCTCATAACTCTCATTTTCATAAACACAAACTTCATAGTTTCGATTTTATCCACAAATGAATCGTAAAGGTTGCTTCTTTTGCTCATATTTGGATTCTGGACAGTGAAAAAGCTTGGAAACAAGCTTTAAACCGGTGTCAATGTAACTATTTACATGCTTTTCGTCATATCTCTGATCTGTATCGCGAAAGTAGACTATATTATATGTCTACACATATGTGTAGACTTACGATGCAGTCTACTTGTCAACGCACGGGTTACTTTTGCAATTGACCAAAATAATTTTTTTTGTAATGTAGACCTACAAGTACGTCAACGTCTTTACCTTTGAAACCAAAAACAAAAAAATTGGTAGACTTACTAAGAAATCTACATAAAACAGGTTAGATTTGCATTTGACCAAAATTTTGACTTACCATAGTAGACTTTCGTGGAGGTCTACACTTTTGTAGACTGCTAGGTAAGTCTACAGACGGTCAGTTTTGCATTTGACCAAAACTTTGACTTCGTTGAATAGGTTTCTTTTGTATTTGACTAAAATATTTAGAAACTGACTAAAACTTACTTTATGTGTAGACTTCATATGCAGTCTACAAAACTTAGAAAAAAAAGTAGACTACATAAGAAGTCTACTATTTTATGTTGGTCAATTGCAAAACTAACCTGTCGGGTTATAATGTAGACTTTTACTGCAGTCTACAGTTACGTAGACATTTAGTTTTGTCTACTCGTAGAAAGTAAACTTTGGTCAATTGCAAAACTAACCTCTTTCAAACAAATTTAAAAATGTAGAGTGCATAATACGTCTACTTCTAAAAGTCAAACTCTGAACGAATTCTGATCAATTGCAAAACTAACTTTTTTAAAAATGTAGACTAAAAAGTAAGTCTACTCGTATAAAATCACATATTTTTTTCAAATACAGAAAGTAACCCGCGAATTTGGCAATTGCAGAAACCAACCTAAACATAGACCTAATTTTCAGTCTACAGACTGTAAACTGAATAAAACTTCTACACGTCTGTAGACTGAATATGTAATCTACCTAGAAAAATCTAGAAAAAGTGGATTTGTGTATTATTCATTAAGTTTTTTCAAAACTTTTTTTTATGAAAGTGTGTGTTAGTTAATCAGAAGGGTTTTGAATGATTTTCAGAAGATAATCTGTTATAATAAGGAAGTTATCAAATTTTTTGTTTGTCTATGTTGTTAGCTTAAAATTTGTAGACGTACTTGTAAGTCTATGATAGAATTTTCGGTTTAACTATATTGTTTGCTAATAATTGTACATGTACTTGTAAGTCTATTTTATAATTTTATCAAACATGAAATTTTTGTTTGCTAATTATGTAAACCGTATTTTTTTTTGCAGGAGATGGCTCAATTACTCATTGTATACAGAGAAAGAGTGGTGAAAAACTCTAGATGTGTTAGTGTTATGTGTCAAACTTATGAGTTGTCTTATTGCTATGGATGTTCTATTATGTATTAGTGTCTCATTGCTTTGAGTTGTCTTCTATTGGATTTGTAGGTCTTTAGTCTGTGTTGAACTTATAAACTATATTGTTGCTTTGGATGTTGTCTAATGTGATAAACTTATGTTATATTTTTCTCTGTCAAGTAGACTTCTTTATAAGTTTACAAGAAAGAAAACTAATAAATTTTATATATAAATTAAAACTAGTTTACAAAACTAAACCAATAATTAGAAACTAAAGTCAAACCACCACAATTTCCCCAACTTGGTTTACACCAAACCAAATCTTTAAAAAATTCTAAACCTAAAAAAATTGAAGACTCCAGCAGCTTCACTTCTTCTTCCACCGTAAACTTCTTCAACAACTCAAGGTCTTCTTCCACTCTTCATGTCCCATCAACGAAGAATGGAGGTTAATCTACAGAAAACAAAACAAAAGAGGTCAGATTCAACAAAACAAATCAGAATAATATGGGAAAAAACAACCATAACTAAACTAAGAGTATGGTACACAGGACTTGACAGTGATTAATGGGAACTACACATCTGATTTCAGTCACATTAATTAAGATTAGAAGCTATGAGTAAAGCATGAAACTCACATAGATTTTCTCAATTAAATTTCAAATCTTTTTAGTAATCAAAAAACACATCCTAACCACTCTTATAAATGATTCAACTTCATAGAGTGAGTAAAACAAGCTTAAGCTAA